TAATAAGAGCCTAAAAATTGTTTTGTATGTGTAAGTAAAGGAGAATTAATTGGAAACTGTTGAGTTGTATTTTATTGCATGATTAATGATTAATGATTATTGTCGTTGTTAAATTTTTATGTACAGTGAGTTGTGGTGCTATAAAGAACGTTGTTTAGTAGCGAATTTAACTTTCAATGTTGCGAATTATAATACATATAACGTAAAGGTGACAGTGTAGCACAGTATTTTAATGGTATCACTGTAAGTCATCGTCTTCTTCTAGTTTATAATTTTTATTTTTCCTAAGAGTCGATATGTTTTTTTAAAAAAGCAAAAAAAAAAATATATATATATATATGTAATAAAATTATTGTAAATTTCTTAACGAACATCAAACAAAAACTAAAAAATGAATGCAATGAAAATAAAATTATTTTGTAAAAATAAAATAAAAACAGAATTAAAATAAAATGAAGTAAAATTTTTAAATAGTTTTTTATGTAAAAAAATTAATTGCAAATAAAATAAATATAGTAATTTTTTGCTCCCTACAACCAATCAAAAAGAAAGAAAATAAAAAAAAAAAACTAAAATTCCTTTATATCTCGAAAATGAAAAAAAAATTATTTTTTATTTAAATAATTAATTAAAAGTAGTTATATTGAAATATTGACAAAAAAATATTATATATTATTAGAAAGTAAAATATTTAATACTATTTTGTAACAAAATTTGAGGAAAAACAATTTATAAATTAATATGTTGAACATATATGTAAAGATCTTGCAGAATGCGTTACATGATTTTAAATGGATTGAAATTTTTTTCCCTGAAATATTTTTAATATTATTTGTGAATTGTTTTTAAATCTCACTATTTTAGAAAATATTTAAAAACGTTCACAAATTATAAATATTTTTTATAATGTAGATTAATAATTAAATCATTTATACGTTATGTATGCACGTATTGGATGATAAGTTTCATCATACAAGAATCATTGCGACAGTTATGCGAATAATCATAGTTTTTTTAATGCATTAAAGGACGATTTCACAGTCACAACTTTAAATACTGACTTAAGTATGAATCAAGTCAACGAATTGATGATTTAGGTCAGTATTGAGACTTAACTTACGACTTTGCGAGATGCAATAGAATAACATTCAATCTTGTCAAAACACGGGCTTTTGGATTGGAACAGACTGCCATCGCATGTTGACCACCTTCATACATAATCTAAAATACTTCTAGTAAACAAACATAATAGCTGCTGTCTTGAATAACAGTTTGAAACCTCAATGGCAATAATGTTTACTAGAATTATATTTCCAAGATACATTCGTCGATTCCCTTTTTCATATCAGGGGTACATCGACATCTACTGCAACAGAGCTAAACTCAGTGAGGTCGAATGTTAACGTGGATTAACAACCTTTTATCACACAGATGCGGTATTTTGAGACCACGGTTACATTGTAACAAAATTCTCAATAGGCTTCTGTTAAATATTTCCTGGAAAGAACGACGGCTTCCATTTGCAATGTATACCGTAAATGCCGCTCTATGTTACCCCATATGATGTCGCCAATCTGTTTCCATGTCTCAATGTGCAACTTGAATTCAATTGATCTGTCGCATTGAAGTGTCTCGATTTTTTCGCCTTGACTTAGATTGACTCCAATTAAAATTCTTTCCAACCCCTTCTGTCTCACACTACCATCACCTACCCATATCCTAACCCCATATCTGTATTTCCTTTCATGTTATCTGCTTAAGAGTTTTTCGTAGGTTCTAAAAACAACAACAAGTAACGACTTTAAAATCGGTCCTGAATGTTATATCGTTCATGATAAAAATTTTATGAAGTGAATATTACACAATATTTTGTGTAACTTGATATAGAGATTATCATGGCATGTTGTGGTATTGTTAGACCCATCACGACTTGAAATTAAAAAATATATTTTAAACTATTATTAAAATTAAAATATTTTTAAGATTTTTAACTACAAATATGATTCTTGTATGACAGTTTAGATATGTTTAGTATATCCTTTTCCAATTCAGATATGTAGATATCTGTACTTACAGAATACGCATATTTTTTTATCTGAATAAAAGCAGAAATTATATATCTGAATATTGGGTATATGTGAACCCATAGAAATTATGTATCTGAATATTTGGTATATGTGAACCAATAGGTTTCCTTCCGCTTCGATTGACTTCAAATGCCAGAGAGATTCATATCTAAAGGATATTTGTTTAGATTGATACTTCAGTAATTTGATGTAGTCATAAAATTCGTTTTTCCCACAAACACACTGCTTCACTATATAAGAAACTTAAGTAAAATGGAATTGCTTCATTCAATTTCCCAATTATCTTGATTAAACGAATTTTATCTCATCTAAGCGGATATTATTTTAAGTAGAACAGTTTTATTGCGCTTAAAACGAATTTTCTTTCGGGGAGAACGATTTTTATTTTGGCTAGAACGAATTTCATTTCAGCTAAAACGAATTTCATTTCAGCTAGAACGAATATCGTTTTGGCTAGGAGGGATTTCATTTCTCATAGAAAGAATTTCATTTCGGCAAAACCGAAGTTAATTTCGTATAGACGAATTTTATAGATTTACGAATGTTCAAGTCTGTATAGATTTACGAATCGAAAACAGCAAGTTAATATATTTTAGTGGGTGCATACCAGGTAGTTACCCAGTAAAAGATCTTAAAGCGCCTCCCAAAATGATTTGAAGGACTATATTTATACATATGTATATTTTTTTTTTGTCTTAAATTACCGAAATGATTTAAAAGCCTCCTGATGTAGAGTTCTGGCTATACGGGCTTGATATATACAATCTGTAAAATATCATTATTTGTTACTCTTGTAAGATAAATATTTTTTGGTTCATATTATTCTGTAGTAGTAAATCGTATATGTGGATATATAAACATGAATCGTTCTTTTTTTATTATAACTGAGTTGGGACAAAT